CCACCTTCTCTCGCCCATCCGCCTCCTACTCCCTATCCCCGATCCCCTCCTCTCCCCTCCCCTCACGTCTTGTCATCCACCTCGTCGACGCGTTCCTCAGTTGTCCGTTACCGCTCCCCCCCCTCATGTTTCTCCCTTTCTTCACCCACATATGTCGCCGCATCTTTCTCTAGCATTCCCTCTCTCTCTCTCTCTCTTTCTCTGTCTCTCTCTCTATATATATATATATATATATATATATATGTGTGTCTCTGCTTCTGTTTTTTTCTCTCTCTCTCTCTCTCCCCCTCCCTTCCTCGCCCTAACCCTCAACCCTCTGACCCCTGACCCCAAACCCCAATTCCCGAACTCCTAGCCCGTAGACCGTAGCCTAACCCCTAACCCTTAACCCCTAACCTTACCCTCTAACCTTTAATCCCAAACGCCTAGCCCCTGACCCCTAACCCCTAACCCTAACCCGCTAACCCCCTAACCTCTGACCTCTAACCCCTAGTCCCTAGCCCCCAATCCCCCCAGTCTCGTCTCCCCCCCCCATTCTCCTCCTCCTCCTCCTCCCCCTCCTCCCCCTCCTCCTCCTCCTCCGCCTCCTTCTCTTCCAATGCAGCGCCTCGTCATCCGAGGTGGCCATGAACACTGACGCTGGGCGCTAGGTGCTAGATCCTAAGTCATGAGCGAGGCTGCGCCTGTGTCCGATGGCCACGCGGCCCCAGGGCGTAGGGCGTCGGGGGGGGGGGGGCTTGACATAGGGACTGAGGGCCCCTCGATCGAGTCATGAGCTTCATGACCCGGTCGAGGGGTCCTCCCTCAGTCCCTGCGTGCACGACCACCCAGAATCCCCTGAACCATAGACACCATAGACCCATAGACCATAGACCCTGGAACCCCACACTCGGACTCCCCAACACCAAGTCGGACATGCCCCCCCCCCTACCCACTATCCCCTTCCAGGCCTTGGAAGGGGATAGTGGGCCCTGAGGGCTGCGATGACCTTCGCTGGGGCGCTGGGGCGACCAGCGGGCCAGCCGCCAGCCAGGGGCCAGGGGCCAGGGGCCAGTGCCAAAATGGCTTGGGCTGCGGGAAGGGGCGATCGAGAGCGACCACCCCCCCCCCCCGCTCACTGCTACTCCTGTTCCCCCCCCCCTCCTCTCCTCGTCGTCCCTTCCCCCACCCCGTCATCGTCATCCTTGTTCACGTCACAAGGTCGTGTTTAGTGGTAGCCCCCTTTTCCTCCCCCGTGTCCTTTTACTCGTCATCATCATCGTGATATTCCTGAAGCCTGAGGCCTCAGGCCTTCAGCCAGCTTAAGGCTTAAGGCTTAAGGTGTAGGACTTAGGGTTTAGGGCTGAGGGGCATAAGACTTATGGTTTAAGGCTTAGGGCTTAGGGGAAGGTGCTCCATTTGCATAGTGTTCCTCATGTTCCTCCGCTTCCTCGCTCCTGGCTCCCCGTCCTTCGCTCCTCACTCCTCCGTCCTCCCCCTCCGAATCCTGAATCTTAAATCCTAAATTCTAACGCAAGGCCATCATAATATTTTCACTCGTCATCATCAGCATCATCAGCATGAGCATCATCATCAGCAGCAGCATCATCAACTGCAGCATCATCATCCGCATCATCACCACCATCATCAACAACAACCTCAGCATCGGCACCAGCACTATCACCAGCATCGGGGCATCCGCATCAGCACCAGCACAATCATCAGCATCATCACCATCATCAGCATGGCCACCGTCGTCATCATCATCATCATCATCATCATCATCATCATCATCATCATCATCATCATCATCATCATCATCATCATCATCATCATCATCGTCATCATCATTATCATCATCAGCATAATCATCATCATCATCGTCATCAGCAGCGGCAGCAGCAGCTGCACCATCATCTTCATCGTCATCGTTCATCGTCATCGTCATCACTACTACCACCACCACCATCATCATCATCATCACCACCACTATCACCATCATCATCAGCATCATCAGCATGTTCATCACCACCATCATCATACTTATACCCTAAACCCTATACACTATTACACTATACACTAGACTCACACTCATCACCATCTTTGTACTCATTATTTATCCTCCTCGCTCCTCGCCCCTGCTCCCTCTACCCTCTACCCTCTACCTTTTCCTTCTCGTCCTCATCCCTCATCCTTCTCTTCCATTTCTTGTTCCCCCCTCCTCGTTCGTCTTTCTCGCTCCTCCTCGCTCGCTTCTCCTCCTCACCCTGCTCCTCCTCCTGCTGCCGTGCATCCTCCCATCGTTTCTCGCTCTTCCTCGTCCTCCTCATCCTCCTTGTCCTCCTTCTCCTCCTCCTCCTCCTCCTCTTCCTTCTCCTCCTCCTCCTCCTCCTCCTCCTCCTCCTCCTCCTCCTCCTCCTCCTCCTCTTCCTCGTCCTCCCCTTCCTGCTCCTCCCCACCCAATCAGCACTCAGCGTCCTCCTCGTATTCCCCCTCCCTTCCTCCCCCTCCAATACTCCAAAGCTCCAAATTCCAGAGCTTGGTGCGAGTTGACGGGATGGTACAGATGCTCGGTGTGAATTTACGGCATGACACTGGTGCTCGATTTGAATTTACGGCATGGCGCGATGTGAGGTCTCTTATGTTTGAGTTTCAGGCATGGCGGCAGGGAGGTTTCTCGAGTTTGAGTAATGGGGTGTTGAAGGTGATTTCGGCGGGTTTTAGTAATGCCCCCCGTAAAAGCAATATAAAGAACGCCCAAGACAAACGTTTGACAAACGTTTGACAAACGTTTGATATTCACACGTCATTATCGCCGCAAACGCGTGACAAACGTTTGACAAACATTTGCAAACGTTTGGTGTTCCCCCCTGCTGCGTTACAAACGTTGGGATGAAGATCGGTATTTCAGAACGCGATTTCGGTAGCGTTCAAGAGATGACTTCGGCAATGGGTACCGAAATCTGCGGGCCCAAGTGCCGGTACAACATCATGCGGCCGTTACCGGTTTTTGTTGGATCGATTTGTAAATCGGTCGCTCCCGAAATCGTGTTCTCGCTACCGAAATTCTTCGGTAGCGGACGATCTGGGAAGCCCCCTTCCCTTTGATCCCTTCCCCGCTGAGGGGGGGGTCCCGGGACGGCGTGGTCCCAGGGATGGTCTCCAGGGGGGTCCTAGGGAGGGGTTCCTGGGGGGTCCCGGGGCAGATACGACTCCTCCTTGGGCGATTAGGCGGCCAAGAAAAGCGTTGTAATTGAGTCGAAGGGACGCCCCTTTCCCTTCCCCCTGGGGGGGGCGGGGGTCCCGGGAATGCGTCCCCAGGGGGGTCCTGGGGGAGGGGTCGCGGGGGAGTTCTGGGGCAGACACGACTCCCGCTCGGGCGGTGTGGCGGCCAAGAAAAGCGTTGTAGTAGCAAGCCCCTTCTCATTGATCCCTACCCCGCCGGGGGGGGGGGAGATCTCAGGGGTGTCGTCCCAGGGGGGGTCCCAGGGAACCAGGGCAGATACGATTCCCCCTCGGGGTTTGGCGGCCGAAGAAAAGCGTTGTTGTTCAGTCGAAAAGGAAGCCCTTTCCCTTTCATCCCTTCCCCGCCGGGAGGGGGGGCGGGGTCCTGGGGTTGGCGCCCCGGGGGGGGTCCTGGGGCAGGGGTCCCGGGGGAGCTCCAGGGCAGATACGATTCCCCCTCGGGCGGTTTGGCGGCCAAGAAAAGCTTTGTAGTTGAGTCGAAGCCCCTTCCCTTTGATCCCTTCCCCGCCAGGGGGGGGGGGAGGGGGTCCCGGGGGGGCGTCCTGGGGGGGGTCCCGGGGGAGGGGTCCCGGGGGAGTCCCGGGGCAGATACGACTCCCTCTCGGGCGGCTTGGCGGCCAAGAAAAGCAGCAGGACGCGGCAAAAGTGTTCCAGGATGTCCCCAAGACGTTTTTCGAGGGTTCCATATCGATGACGTGTTGGTACAAGTCGCCAAAGTAACCTCCAGACGGCACGACTTTTTTTTTTTCCACAACGCCCCAGGAAGCCTCCAAGAAAACTTCCAAAACGGCCTCCAGGGGCAAAAATCCGCCGACCCTGTCGGCGTGTGGAAGAGGCTGTTCCGTTTGACTCGCCGTCGTCGTCGTTGTCGTCGTCACCGAGCCCTCCTCCTCGAGCGCGCCAACCACAACAAAATTGAGCGACTTTGTAGTTCAGTCGAAAAGAAGTCCCTTCCCTTTGATCCCCTCCCCGCCGGGAGGGGGGGGGGGTCCTAGGGGTGGGGTCCCGAGGGGGGTCCCGGAGCGGGTCCCGGGGGGTCCCCGGGCAGATACGACGCCCCCTCGGGCGATTCGCCTCGGTCTCCCTCCTGTCCTCCCCCCCCCTTCTCCGTCTTCCCCTCCTCGTCCCTGTCCGCCCCCTCCTCGTCCCCCTCCTCCCCCCTCGCACCTCCTACTCCTCCTCCTCACCCCTCCTGCTCCCTAGCGTCCTCCGCCAACTGCTCCTCAACATCCTCGTCGTCCTCGTCGTCGCCGTCTTCAGGGTCGGCGGCACCAGCCGTAAGGCCTTCGCAATCGTAAGAGCTTCACGGATTGAGGGCAGGTCGTTTTCCAAATGTGGCTCCCGCATTTGCGCCGCGCACATGCGCTATAAATATTTGTAATAGCTCCACGGATTCCCATGGTGTTTCGGAACGATTCAGGACTGTCAGTGCGCAGCTGCTACTCTGATTCGCTGGTCTGTCCCAGGAACATCCAGGAACGGCGTTCTGGCACGACTCAGGGTCGTGAAGACGCAACAGTCAGGTTGCCTCGTGGCGTTGAAGTCCTGAGACTGATGTTTGGTATGCTTCAGGATCTTCAATCCGTGCAGGGACCTACGAAGAGGGAGCTTGGAGGGAGGGTTGATTCGAACATCGTTGATGACTTTTGGGTTTGCTCTGGGATGCACTATTCCTGCTCCTCCTCCTCCTCCTCCCCGCCCCCCGACGACTGGGACAAGGGCAGCGACGCGCGGAAGGGGAGGCGACTGAGCACTGATGCGCGGCCGGCCGCGGCCTGGGTCTGCCGGAGCCCCTCCTCGGAGATCGGGTGGTCCCTCCGCCGCCGCCGGGCGCCGCCGACGGCAGCGGTAGCGGCTGCTCCTCCTCCTCCTCCTCCTCTCTCTCTCTCCTCCCTCCTCCTCCTCCCTCCTCCTCCTCCTCCTCCTCCTCCTCCTCCTCCTCCTCCTCCTCCTCCTCCCTCCTCCTCCTCGTATTCCACCATTGTTTTTCCTTATAAATTCGCCGGCCCAACGGGCCAGAGGCGTGCTAAGATCTCCGGTAACTGGTTAAGAATTCTCTAGTTCGCGCGCGCGGGGCGGCCCCTGGGGGTCCCCGGACGAAAAGTACCCCGGCAAGGTCCTGAGAGAGTCCCGGGAGGAGTCCCCCAGAGCGCTCCAGGAGCGCTCCATGAGCGCACCAACAGGGCTCCGAGACGTCCCCGAGAGCCCCAAGAAAGGCCAAGAGGCCCCCAAGAGGCCCCCAAGATGGTACACGAGGGGTCCGACATGCCACAAGATCGCTCCAAGACGCCCAAGATAGCCCCCAGACGCCCCAAGAGGCCTCCCAGAGCACTCCCAAGAGGGCCCCCGGAGGCAAAATTCATTGTTTTTCCTTAGGTTTTTGAGAGATTTTGGAGCTTCCACCTTTTCGGTTCCCGACGCCCCAAGACGGCCCCAGAGGCCCCCAAGATCGCCCCAAGAGGGCCCAAGAGGCCCCCAAGAGGGCCCCAAGATGGCCCAAGAGGGCTCGAAGACGGCCCAAGAAGCCTCCAAGACGGTCCAAGAGGGCCCCAAGAACACCCCCAAAGGGGCCCCAGAGAGGGAACACGAAACAAAATTTCGCGCCCTCGGCCCTAAGAAGCCCCTACGAGGCCCCAAGAGGCCCCTAAGAGGCCCCTAAGAGGCCCCAAGAGGCCCCCACGAGGCTCAGGAGGCCCCCAAGAGTCCCCCAAGCAGCCCCAGGAGGCCCCCCAAAAGCCCCCCCGAGCGCCCCAGGAGTCCCCCAAGCGGCCCCAGGAACCCCCAAAGCGCCGCATTGACACCAGGCCCTCGGGCAAACGGCAGACATGAGACCGTATGGGCTGGCGGAATGAGCGAAGCGATTCAATAACTCCTCCCTGTCGCACCCTGAAGCCAGTCACAAGGACGGGCCGGGCGCTCTGCCTGAGACTTCCTTGTCGCTTCTGAGCTTCAAGCTGAAAAGCTGACAACAATTTAACAGATGGAGGGCGGACCCCTCCCAGAATGTGGCTCTCGCCTTAGCGTCGCGCGCGCTCGTTCTTAAAAATTGAAACATGGCGGGTCATTTTCAAAATGTGGCTCTCGCCTTAGCGCCACGCACATTCGTTTGAAAATTACCCGGTACACGGGTCAGCTATATTAAGGACTGCTCAATATGAACGAACATGATGAAAGACGCGCACTTCGCAGCCACCCAAGGAGCCGCATGGTCTAGGCGAGGTCCGCGTGGACCTCCACCCCGCTAGAACTCCCAGGTTTTTTCAGGGTTTTTAGCGTTCTTGCCTTTTCGGGCGTCCGACGCTCGAAGACGGCCCAAGAGGCCCCCAAGTCCGTCCCAAGACGGCCCACGATGCTTCCAACACGGCCCAAGAGAGCCCCAAGACGGCCCAAGAGGGCCCCAAGACGGCCCAAGAGGGCCTCTGGACAGCCCAAGAAGGCCCCAAGAGAGCCCCAAGAGGGGCCCAAGAGGGGGACCACGAACCGAAAGAACCGAGCTTTCCGCCCCAAGAGGCCCCCAGGAGGCCCCAAGAGACCCCCAAGGGGCCCCAAGAAGCCCACAAGAGGCCCAAAAGAGGTTCCAAGAGGCCCCAAAACAGCTCCCCAGAGGCCTCCAGACTGCCTCCGGCAGGCCCCCGGTTTCTTCCGCGGCACCGCCCAGGGCGCCACCGGCAGGATGTCCTCCGTCTCATCGTTTTCCTTCAAGTTATCGCCTCGTCTGCCTCTCATCCTATCCCTCTCATACCGAGATCGCGTCACCGAGTGCCTCTTCTTTGAAACATCCTCGCTCTTCAAACGCACATCCATACACACATGCATACATACCTACATTTAAACACATTTGCATACATAGAAAAACAATCTTCCAGACATACATACTTACATTCACACACATACACACATATTATCATACACACATACAAACATACATACAAACTAAATACATACATACGCGCACAAGCATACATACATACATACGTACCTACACACAGGCACACATGATCAATGCATGCATACATGCATGCACGCGTACATACACACACATATATCGTGAAACTCACCGCGTGCTCGAAACTTGAGAGAGACCGCGGGAAGTCGAGAGAAGCCGCGGAACGAGGCCTCTACTACTACTACCACTACTACCACAACCACTACTACTACTACTACTACCACTACTACTACTACTACTACTACTACTACTGCTACTACTACTACTACTACTACTACTACTAATACTACTACTAGTACTACAGGTGCGTTTCCCAACTAGTATGTGTGTGTGGGTGATGCTGTGTGCGCATGTCTGCGGCGCAGGTTAAGTGGTGTGACTGTGTGTGTGCGTTTGAGTGTGCGCCCATAATTTCTGCGTCTGGAGAATAACCCCGAGCGACCCGGATCGGCGGCACTGGCCGAAGGCCACTACAATAAATGGCGACCGTTGCGCGGTTCGCAACCCCGCAGGGAGCCGCGAGGTCTCGGCAGATCTGCGTGGACCCTGCACTCCGCCATACCTCCCAGGAGCCCACGAAAATGGTGACAATTGCGCGGTGCGCAACCCCGCAGGGTGCAGCGAGGTCTCGACGAGGGAGAAGACGACTAAACAGGAAAGAAAGGGGGCTGAAGGGAGGAGGGGGAGCAGCAGGAGGGGGCGGAGGAGGAGGGAGAGATGAAGAGGAGACCATAGTGCTCAATTCAAAACGAGAACCCAGCACAGGAGGATTTTTGTTTTCCGCGGGGACTGGAATAGGCTGGCGTCCGAGTTTCCGCGGGAAAACAAAATTTTCATCGCCAAGCTAAGGAAATCAAGCCAGGGCCCTATTTTCACCCCTCGGCTTTGCTGGCGCAACAGCTACGCCGGGGGGCCTCGCCCGTAAGCCAGCTGGAGGCCGGCAAACCAGGCTGGGCCGCGGGCGCCTCTGCTCGCCGGACCGCTGCCGGTTCCACCAGTGTCGCCAGGGCCCGGCGCGCCGGCGCCCGCGGGGGTTGGAACAAACGCAGGAGCTTCACGGATGGAGGGCGGGTGGTTTTCAAAATGTGGCTCTCGCTTCAGCGCCGTGCACATTCGTTCCAAAACATTGCATTAGCACCGCACGCATTCGTTCAAAATTAGCCTGGAGAAGGATCCAACCATAAGCAGTGATACATACCGCAGGTGTGAGTACCAACTTCGGTGGATCCTCCTATGCGGCCATGAAACATGCGAAACGTGCGAGGGCTGTGCAGAAATCAAGCGGCACCGACATGCGGACCCTGCCGCTGCGACCTTTGGTGGTGCCGGCTCAAGTCACGAAACGTGCGAGGGGTGCGCCAAAATGTGGGATCGAACTGCATACGGGCGCTGCCACTAGGGCCTCAGGTGGAGCACCCTGTGGGGCCACGGAATGCCTGAGGGGTTTGCCGAAATGGGGGGGGTGGCACCGCATGAGAACGCAGCCACTGGGGCCTTCGGTGGAGCTCCCTATGGGGCCACGAAACGTGTGACGGGTGTGCCGACATTGCGAGGTGGCGGCATGCGGGCCCTGCCACTGCGTGTGAGGCGTGTGCCGAAATGACGAGGCGGTGGCATGCGGGCCCTGGCACTAGGGCCTTCGGTGAAGCTCCCTAAGGGCCACGAAGCGTGTGAGGAGTGTGCCGAAATGGCGAGCATGCGGGCCCTGCCACTGGGGCCTTCGGTGGAGCTCCCTATGGGGCCACGAAATGTGTGAGAGGTGTGCCGAAATGGCGAGGTGGCGGCATGCGGGCCCTGGCACTGGGGCCTTCGGTGGAGCTCCCTATGGGGCCACGAAACGTGTGATGGAGTGCCGACATTGCGAGGTGGTGGCATGGGGGCCCTGCCACTGGGGCCTTCGGTGGAGCTCCCTACGGGGCTACGAAACGTGTGAGGGGTGTGCCAGAATGGCGAGGTGGCAGCATGCGGGCCCTGCCACTGGGGCCTTCGGTGGAGCTCCCTACGAGGCCACGAAGCGTGCGAGGGGTGTGCCGAAATGGCGAAGTGGCGGCATGCGGGCCCTGGCACTGGAGACGGCTCAAGGAGCTCCGTACGGGACCACGAAGCGTGTAAAATGGCGAGGTGGCGGCATGCGGACCCTGGCACTAGGGCCTTCGGTGGAGCTCCCTATGGCCCTATGGGGCTACGGAGCGTGTGAGGGATGTGCCCAAATGGCGAGGTGGCGGCATGCGGGCCCTGGCACTGGGGCCTTCGGTGGAGCGTGCCGAAACAGGCTCATGTGGAGGGCAGAGGCAAGAAAAGGGAGGAGGGAGGAGGGGGAGGAGGAGAAGGAGAGAAAGGAACGCGGGGCGCTGTCTCTTCAAAACCACCACAGGATGGTTGGGGAACTGTGCAGGAGCTTCACGGATGGAGGGTCGTTCCTGTTCAAAATGTGACTGATCCATCGAGGCCCCCAAAGCCCTCCCCGCGAGAGCCAGACCTCAAGAGGGCGCCGACCCTAATAGTGCAAGGCCCAAGGCTCGAGCGGAGGCGCTGCGAACCAGGAGGAAAGGGTTGCCGGACCACTTTCGCGCTGAGTTCGACGCCCTCTGGGCCAGCGACGAACCCGAGGTCACAGACGACATCCCGCTCGTCATCCCCAGCGACCTCTGGGACAAGGCGGCGGCCGCGGTCGCGAACCTCCCGGCGCTCGAGGGCGTCAAGGCGGCGGCGGAGCTCTGCAGGTGCACGAGTCTGGCTGCTCTAACACGGGGCATTCGCAGGACAGCTCAAGCGCCTAGAATGCGCTAACGAATAGCGGTGCATTCGCACGGAGGGGGGGGACCCGCGTGCCACGGCTAACCCAGCTCGGAGAAAACCCTGGGGCCAG